CTCAGGGAAAGAAAAAAAAAATAATAACAAAAGAATATGACTATCACATACGAATACAAATAATTAAAATAAATAATAGTATGTTTTTCAAAACGTAATAAGGACACGACGTGTGTTTTCTTCAATTCGTGTTGTTTGATTGAAGTTAGTTTATCTGTTTCATTTGCCATCGGTTTTCATACTCATTTCTTCTTGATAAATTGATAATAATATTAATTGTCCGACCCTAAACGATTATATCTGATCATTTAATAACGTGTTGACTTGTTAAAACCTTATCAAAAAATGTTATTCTTCTTCGGATGATAATGACTTCGATGATCTTTTTATGAACCTATCGGAATGTAGTTCATCCTCGTATTCGGTACCATCGGGAAAGTAGTCATCGTTAAGTGATCTGTCAGCATTGGAATTATTCTGCTCGTCCTCTTCTTTCTTTGTTGACAATGACCATTGATTTTGATGACTCACAATCGTTAAAGGATTAAGAACTCCTCTTTCCTGAATGACAGGCCAAAAGCTGTTCTTACCGATCGATAATATTATCTCTTCGATTTGTTTATAATTTATAATACGTTCTTTCCTATATTAGTTCGTATTTTTTTTTGTTTTTTTTTTTTTAAGAATTTATATTGCAATTGTTATTTATAATGGTTCGTATGCACGTTAACAACCCGCCCAACATTGCATCGAGAAAGAGGCAGAAGGGAGGTGGAGCCACAGCAAAGATTTAATTATTTTAATATTTAATTTTTATTAAATAATATAATGTTTGTGTTAGGATAAAAAATAAAAATAAAAAAGGACCAAGATTTATCTTCTAAGTGTAACTTTTTTAAAATTGATTTTTAATTTATGAATTGTTCAACATTTTTTCTATATTTAATTATTTTTTTTTTTTAAGTTAGGATTTTGAAAAAGAAAAGAAAAATATACTTACGATTTCAACGTTTTTCGGTTTTTCATATTTAACATTCGTACTTCTTGGGTTTGATCCTAGCTGAAATCATATTTAAGACAAACAAATAGTTTACATGTATGCATATTTATTTCATTACATTTAAATAAGTTTTTCACAAAACATATTAATTAAATTAATATATTATTAAACGTCAGAAATTAATAATCTTCCGTGTTATAATTTATACCAAAAGTATCGAGAGTATACAATTTTGGTAATTCCATATTCGTCCTTATTTTAACATTTGATTTTTTTGTATCATCTATTTCATTCGTTGATACATTTCTATTAGGAAAATTAAATTTAACATATTTCATTTTAAACAATTTCTCGTATAAAAGTTCATCTTTGAAATAATACATCGAAGAAACTTTACAAATTTTTCCACCTTTTTTGGTATCATCTGGACAACCAGGTGCTCTTATAACTGGAGGACATTGTTTCTTTGTTTTTTTGTCTGTACAATCAGGTGATTTATCAGTTTTCTCTGTTTTACATGAGTTACGTTTAGGACGAGAATCTGACGTGGAACAAGGACTTTTTTTTAAACATGGATCTGGTTTGCTACAGGGATCCTTTTTACTTGAATCTGGTTTGGCACATGGATCTGGTTTGCCACAGGGATCCTTTTTACTTGAATCTGGTTTGGCACAAGGATCTGGTTTACTAGAACGATCTTTTTTACATGGGTCTGGTTTACTAGAAGGATCTTTTTTACATGGGTCTGGTTTACTGGAAGGATCTTTTTTACATGGGTCTGGTTTACTA